ATATATATATATATATATATATGTGAAAGGGGGAGTGCAGTTAATAATTATGGGGTGTAGAAAGGGGGAAGTCCCATTTGTTTTAAGGGACTAAGACTTCGAAGCCCAATAGTAAATAATTTCAGAATTCTAATAAATTTTAGCGTGGAGTAAAATTAGATTATCAGGTTTCATGGGTAGAAAAAAGGAGGTGCAGGAAGAAATAGCCCCCAGGGTCACTCCACTTCTTATCTTACCAATACTTTTTCTCAAAAATTACTTTTGTATTGTTATTTGAACAATTATAAGATGTAGCTTTGTAAGATTTCATACACTCTCTACCTTAATTAACATGTTACGTAAATAAACAATTGTGTTATATAAAAGTAATGCCACATCTTTTACTCCGATGATATCGGATATAGTGTATACCGAACGGTTATCACCACTACAACAGTGGTCAACCAGGTCAACTAGGATGAATGGTTTTTGGGTCAGTGTTTAAGTTATCGAGCCAAGGGTCCAACAAAAGATAAAATAAGCAAAGGAATAATCAAGAATATCTGATTGAAGATTTGATTAAAGACATTGATAAAGCCGTTTATGAGTAACTAACCGGATGTCCAGGTAAAGTTATTTTTATTTGGCTTATAAAACACTTATAAATACAATGACAAGGCTAAAGGCCAAGTACGTTCAACTGAGACTCCTCTACGTTCTACTTACGTCCGATCAGACTTAAATACTAAATTGTGATAAACAGTTGCTTTATCAATATCTTTAATCAGATTTTCAATAAGATATTCTTGATTATTCCTTTGATTATTTTATCTTCCGCTGGACCCTTGGCCCAATAACTTAAACACTGGCCCAAAAATCATTCGTCCTGGTTGACTTTAGGTAGTCTGATTGACCATTATTGTGATAGTAAACAAACCGTTAACAATTAATAACTGTTTGATATACACTATATTCAATACAATAACTTTTCTTAAAACAAAGTTGTTCAAAACCACCTTAGTAAGTAACTACATTGAAGATCAACTTAATAAAAACTCATTATTTTTCTGTATTTTTTTTATCATATCTTAATATATCATTCATATATTTCACCATTTTTGTTTCATGTAGACATGAGGGGTTGAGAAAACATTTTTCCATGAATAATAATATGTTGATACATATTACCATTCATTTGACATCATTTGACATATATTATAAATATAAAATAGTTATAAAAAGATGAATTTTTATTTTTATAAGAAAAATGAAAAATAATATTAAATATGAATGTAACAAATTTGTATTTAAAATTATCATTATTTTTTTTTTCGAAATTAACGATTTGAGGATATACCTTGCAATGTGATCTCTTCCTACTACAAATGGCGTGAGAATTTTGATAGTATACATTATTAGAAAAAGCATCCAAATTTAAGTAAAAACCCTAAAAAATCGACACATACAAACAAATGGTTCTTCACGAGACCAATCCAACACAACAAATTGAATACTCCTCTTTGTGTGGTTGAGACATCTCACTCTCTCTTCCACTTGTCCTATTTGGGAATTTTGTAATGCACATATTAAGAAATACTTAATTTCATTATGAGTTGTTAATTAAAAAGCAGCTATGATTTGTTTTAGGTTATTTTGAGAAAGAAAAGTTTTTTTTTTTATGAATAATTAAGGAGTAAGAAAGAAAAAGAAGAATAATGCATGAAAGGGTTCACGGGCATTCAGTGATTAGAAGGATTCCCAAACTTGTTTCTTTCTAAAAATAAGACAAGATAAAGAAATGCTGAGATCGTATTGTATGCTGTTTTTTTCTTCTTCTATCGCTTTCTATGTGCACATCTCACAATCTATCATTCACATGCATCCATCATATTCTTTAATCTTTCTTTCAATTTTCTACTTTCATATAGTAAAATCTCCTCACTTAAACTTTCTATCTTTTAAAAAAGATTAAAATATAAACCTCATTAGTATTTTAGAAGAAAGTTCACTTTTTTTTTATGTGGGTAAATAATCTTTAAAGATTATTTATTTTACAAATCAGCATCTGTTATATATTATACTTCAATTTAAATTTTTAGTTAAAAAATGTAATATTTCATATTTTCCAATCTTAAAGTAGTGATTTTTTATTCTATATTTTAAAGGTGTCTAACCCTTCATTTGGAACAAATAATAAAGAATAAAAAATTATATATGAGTTCCAAAAGTTCTTATGTCACATAAATATTCCCTAATGATTCCATGCTATAATAATATAAGGACACGTTCCAAAGTTTCTCTAACACATGTCTCTCTTTCAACCACCAACATGTTCTATTTCCATTTCCACATTCATGGGGACAGTAACATACTGTTATAGAAAGGTTGAAAAAGTTTTATATAAATATATATATATATTCTCTAGAGAATTCAAAATTATCACTACTATCACTTGGATTATAATTTCTTTTCACAAAAATAAGTACATTTTCAGAGTTTTTTTTATATATTAAATAATATTATCAGAATCTACTTGTTAACCTCGGTGAATGCTTATATTTATTCTTACGTTGTGAATGAGTTATTTTCCAAGCATCACAAAAACCCTTCATTTCGGTTATCAAGGAACTGAAAATGTAACATCACGTACTATACTAAAACTCTCATTATTTCTAACTTATAATAGACAAACTAAACTCTTCAATATTCATATATTAACCACTTTTACTGCAAATTAGATGAAAATTAGATACATGTTTTATTTTTTAAATTTAAGAAAATTTAACAGAACATTGTGATAATATTAACTGAGAGTAAAGAATGATAGTTACGAGTAGAGACAAATTCAGCATATGATTGAGAACGATATAACGTGTTGTGATAAGAAAGAGGAGGTGTGAGAAGAGCCAATTTAATATGCTATGTTGTAGAATCTGCAGTGGTCATAATGAAAAAAAAATGGCTGTTTCTTCGCTACCATTTGCATCAAATTTCAGGTAAAAAAAGGGACAAAGTCTCACCCAATTTCCCATATAAGTACCCAACTCTGCTCTACTTGGAAACCATTCTTCACATAACACAACTTCCCTCTGTGTCTGAAGGAGTGTCGCAGTGAGTCAGCAATATGCCTACAAACCTAACCATCCTTCTCTTTTGCCTGCTTCCAATGCTTCTTCTTTTCAAGGAGACTCATGTAAGATAACATCTTCAAGGTTTATGCATTCTTTTTTCCACCAGACAGAATCATTATGTTTGTGTAGCATAAACTAACGTTGTCATCTTCAGGCTAAGACTGTTGTTGCTACTACTACCACTGACTCTCCAACTCCAGCACCAGCACCAGCACCAGCACCAGCACCAGCACAAGAACCTCAGCCTAACAAGGTAACAAAACAACCGTGTTTTTATTTTTTTTTACTTTCATGTGTTGATTTTGTCCTTGTTTTCTTATTCAGTCACAGCATGGGAGCACTGAAGGCAGTCTTCAACCACAAGGTATGAATGAATGATGGATATATATGTTGTATATATATATATATATATATATATATATAAGATTGGTATATAATAAAGAAAATGAATGATGAAATTATTACAGAATGTGGTCCTCGTTGTGCGGAGAGATGTTCAAAGACACAGTACAAGAAACCGTGTTTGTTCTTCTGCCAGAAGTGTTGTGCCAAATGTCTGTGTGTTCCCCCTGGAACCTATGGCAACAAGGAAGTATGTCCCTGCTACAACAACTGGAAGACCAAAAGGGGAGGACCCAAATGCCCTTGAATCTTCAAACTTTCACAATCTTAGATTTCTTTCGATCGATCTTAAAACGAAGTCAAGTTAACCAAAATCTGTATTACACAGCCTATGTATTTCAATCAATATTTCAAATTAACTTCCCTTTCACTTTGCAAATGGACCTTCAAATGATATAAGGAATACTAAAATACTCGTAAAACATGCATGCGAGTAATTTCTATGAGACAAAATCTTAATTGAAATTTTTAACTCTTTAAACTCAAGTTGATTTAGACTTGTAACACTTTCGAATCATGGATCTGATATAAAAGGAAGAGAGAACGGTGAATACATTTTTCAAAGTCATAAGTTTAAGAATATAATTTTAGAAAGATGGATTTTTATAAGAAAACGAGGAGTAAAATATTTCATTTTCTATTTATGATCTTATAAAATAAATTTAATTAAAATTTTAATTTTTATAAAACTTCTATTTTTTGTCCTACAACTTATAAAAACAAAATCTTACCATATTTGTTTATAGCTTTAAAATTTTTGGATATATTTTTAAAGGAAAAATAAATTATAATGATTATCTAAACACTCACCACATGAACGAATTCAATTACTCTTTTTCGGGAAAAGCACCTTAACTTTAATTAATTTTTATGTGTTGAATAGTTAATTTTAATTTATAAAAAAAAGTTAAAATTGAGTAAAGTTAAATTAAGTTTTTTTTTTTTTCGAAAAAAAGCCACTAAATTTATTCTCCTCATAGACAAGTTTTACTATTCATTGTAGTAGTCCGAGATTACACATAACTTTACCCAAAATTATATTAAGATTTTATATCATTATAATTTATATAATTCATACCAATGAGCAGTTAATATTTTCATCACTGCTAGATATCCAAATTGAAAAAAAAAATTCTTAGAATTATCAATATGTAAAATTAGTCAATGATAATATATTTAATTATTGGCTAAACATATCAAACACATTCAAGTATTTAAAGTGATTCTTTTATATTTTTTATTGTTTTTATTTTTGCATTATATTATAAAACTTTTTAAAAATATATATTTTTTTTCATAATTTAAACTAAAAAAAATAAAGGAGAAAAATTTAAGTAAATAAACTTAATCCACCAAATTTGGATAGGAAGAAGTTATGTATAATTTCTTTATATTATTTGCATATTTTTATCAATTATTTTATAATATTTGTTTAGATTGTTTATAAATTATTGTTAAGACAATGTATAAGATACTTTTAACTAGTTCATTTATTCTTGAAACTATATCAAGATATACAATTCAAAATTAAAAACAATTTTAGATTAATTTGTGATTGCACTTTGATACATAGAAGAAATATAACGACGACTATGTAACTAAATAAATAAAATTATTACTTAACGTATATAAGACTAAATACTTTTTTTGTTCTCTAATTTATTTAAAAAAATTAATTAGACTCCTAATTTTTATTTGATTCAATTAAATTTTCTAGTTTTTAAAAATAATCAAATTAAGTTTTCTAAATTAATTACAAGATATTATTATTAATACTAATACTGACACGTGTCTGTCACATATTATTAATACTATTATGGGACACTGTAATGATCTAACATGTGATTTTTTTTATAAGAAATGAAAAGTAAAATAATAAATAATTTAAAAAATAAAAAATATCATAAATTAACATGTAACATGTAAAAACATAACATTAATGTTAATCTAATAGAAAGAAAAAAAAATTAAATCATTTTTAAAAGTTAAAAAACTTAATTAAACAAAATAAAAATAATGAGTCTAATTTTTTTTTTAAACAGAGCACGTAAAAAGTATTTAGCCTTAAATATTTTATTATTTAATATTTGATGGTGTGAGTTCTCCTACTGTGTAAGGGTTGGAATGAGTAATTACAAATTGTTGATTCTGTCGTCATGTAATTACGAAGAGTAATCACAAAAATTATATTAGAGGAGCAAAACATACATGCATATTAAATGTAATTATAATTGCACCCATATAATCAACAATACCGACACTTCAATATTCATACAAGTTAATCTATATTGATTGAGTTAATTCACTTTTTGACACTCCTAAATATATACCCTCCTTTTTCTCTTTTATTTATTCTTTAGAGAAAATAATAGGATATTATAATACCTATACCACTTAGAATTTATTAAACTTATCCTGAATATTCTTGGGTTGGTTTTATAAATCTCATATTAAATGATATTAATATTTAATGAGAAATATTTTATACTTGTTTTTTAATATTATTAATATATATTCATCGATAATTGTTGTATCTTCCCATTTGAATGAAGTTATATTATTATATTGTTAGTTAAAATATATTTTTTAATATAAATTTCTATTACTACTATAATTTTTTGTATTTTTGGTGGAGATTTATTTTGTAAATTTCTTTCAAAAATTAAAAAAAAACGCGTTTTCCATCATTTTTTCTGTAAAACGTTGTTGGTGGGTAATTCTTCTGTGGATAATTAGTTACCATATAATTTAAAAATTTGTAGGAAATTTTTACAAAAATTTCTATGAAAAATATCTGCAACAAATTTTCTTGCAAAAAGAATTCGCAACAATTTTTCTTGAAAAAAAAAATTAATTCGAAAAATAGTCGGTACTTTTTCCTGATAATTTAAATTTCGCATGTATATATACGTTAAAAAATTGTTTCATTCATTTATTTTTTATATGTGTTGTTTGTACTGTGAATTAATGATTATTCTACGTAAATAAATAAATATAAAAAGTTAAATATTTTTTATATTTTAATTCTTATTACATAAATATTTGTATTTATGTCTATTTTGTAAAGGGTCAGGTAAATGAAAACTAAACTAATTTTAAAGAAATTAAACTCATTTGAAAAAAAAATTAAATAGATTGATACAGTCTAATTATAAATTATAACTTCTGCCAGGAAAAATGTTAATTAACCTTTATAACATTTACTTTTGAAAATGTAAAATTCTTTCATATAATATTCCATGAAAATGAAACTATTTTGCTATTGCTAATTTTGTTACTTATCACATCTCATGTTTTACTTTTATTATATCACTTTTATCTAGAATGAATTTAATAAAAAGGCATAAAAGATATGAAAAAAACTATTTGCTGTCTTCTAACAAAATAAAATGAAAAAATAATAATAATTCAATGTAAACCACTTCAAATTAAGTTTAACTTTCACACTGTCCATTTGAAAAACAAAACAATAAAGTTACAATTGAAGTATATATATAGTTTATTAAAAATACCTAAAACTAAGCATGTAAACTATAATAAAGAAAAGAAATAGAGAAAGTAAAAGATAAAATAAGAGATAGCAAATAATTAGATAGAAAATAATAAATTTATTTCATTTATTTATTATTAGTTTTAATTGCTTACGATTATTATATTTATTAAAATAAAATTAGTCCGATAATTAAATAGGGTATTGATAATCATAATCAATTTAAGAAGATAGATATAATGTTTTTTATAAATCGATTTATTTTTGGGTAAATGCTAAAAGATAAACCTCATTATATCCTAACCAATAAACTGTTAAAATTGAGTTGATTATTAAATCGAAGGTGAAAGGGTGGAATTAGCTATAATTAATGGGCTTTTTCTTCCAGAATAGGTGCAGTTAAAACGTATGGGGTACAGTAAGTAAAAGCCTAATTATAAGTTGGAACCATTGGTCTCATCACAACATAACAAGAGCACAATCCGCACAATCATAGATATTCTGTTTCCATAACGAGAGCTTCTTTGGAATAGTATTTGGTCTCGAATTAATTTAATTATTATTATTATAAATTAGAATGAATATTAGTTAATTAATTTAATTTTTAATATCAGAACTAAAATTCTCAATTTGGCCCTTCTTACATAGTTTGGTCCTGGTCCTATGGGTTAGGGTTAGAAAAATCACGTAGAATAAAAAAGGAGTGTTTCATCTTACACCTCCAAGATCTCATCCTGCACCTCCAAAAATTCCACTTTTAACCTTCTGACATCTCATCATCATCCTGCACCTCCAACTTTTTCAAAACTTTATTTTTAACTTTAATAAATATTTTTCCATTTTCTTTTTTTTTTTATTAAAAATAATCTTCACTACCTTAATAATAATTTAATTTAATTTATTTTAAAATTTAAATATTATTTAAAATAATTTTGTATTTTAATAATTATTAAAATATAATTTATATTATAATAATAGTTATATTAAAAACATAAAAATAAAATAATAACAATAATAAATAATAATAAAAATAAATTTGATTTAATATATTCAAATATATTAAATTATAATAAAATATTAAAATAAATTAAATAATTATTAAATTTTAAATAAAAATGAAAATTTTAAAAAGTTTATTTATATATTAAAATCTATAAAATATGTTAATACTTGCTTTTTATTTAAAATTTAATAAATATTAAACTTAAATAAAAATTATAATATAATAACTAAAATAAGAA